CGATCAAGTTTAGAAGTCGATAAATGATTGATGCCGGGGGTATCCCCGCTTCACAATGAAGAGCGCTATTGGGAGTGGTACGCCACGCTGGGAGTTCTACTCGGATAGCTTTCATTATCGTTTTATCCAGTAGAGATAGATGCCAGCCTACTCCAGTGCTGACTTCCTTATCTCGTAGTATGGTTATTCGAGTAAGACCCGGCCACCACGCTTCTGCCTCATAGAGAGCTGTGCTCAAAACGCATGCCTGCACTGCACGAATCAGAGGTCCGGGTGCTGCTCCGCGTTGAACTCCGTTTACATGTCGTAAGAAATGGACTAGACGATTAGCCTTTCCAGTCCATTCCTGTACATGCTGCTTGAAGTTCAGCTGGGTATCAAGCCAAACTCCTAGCCACCGGATATGAGGTAACGTGTTATGAATCTACTTATTGGCAGATTTTCGAAGCTGTTAAGCTGCAGAGGTCGAGTCGATTTCGACGAAGACAAATTATCGAAGGTTCGAGGTTACAAAGTTACGAAGGTCGAAGGTGCAAATGTCAAATGTGCGAAGGTACAAATGAAGGTAATCGAGGCTCGGATTATCAAAGTTACGAATTCATATGTTCAAATTATCATATTATCAAAATATCGAGTTCCCAATAAGCAAATTATACAATAAACAGAAAAGAAACAAAATTGTTAGAACTAAAGAACCAATTCAAATTTCCAGCCTGAACAAATCCAAATCCCGTAGCCTCAGACCTAACCGAATTAAGAAGATAGCCCCTGCATCACCACATCCAGACTAAATATAACAAATTCATAACATAACGGTACTATCCGGCGATCGTTCACTAAGATGGAAAGGTCTGCCCTGTTTATTTTCTTTCTAGGCCCTCCTCCAGTCACTAGAAGTTCGGACTTCGCTGGGTCAAACTAGATCCTATGCTCTCTGGCGAGAAGGATGAGGCTATCGAGATCGTCTTGAGCTGCGGAGATGGCATCCGCCGCGGTATTTCCGATTCGGACGATCGCTACGTCATTAGCGTACCCGAATCTACTAGAGGGACTATGGTCCTGAAAAAGCACAGCAATCTAGAGCATGAAAAGAAGTGGCGAACCCTGAGGTACTCCACATTCCAGTGTCTTCTCCTCTGTGGTTCCACCACGGTATTTCACCTGGACTTTTCTTTGGCAAAGGAAGGTCTGAATAGACCGGCACAGGGATAGTGGCCAGCCTTGTTCTCGAAGGCGTTTGAGCAGTCGGTTGTGTAGGACTACATCAAAGGCACCTTGGATGTCTAGTGTGACCATAGCCGCACATTTTCCGCTTCTCATGGCTGCCTCAGCATCATTGATTACACAGCATGCAAGGTCGACCGCTGATCGTCCCGGTATTGAGCCAAATAATTACGGATGAACAACTTGGTGACATACTGCCAGCCATGCCATTCTCATTCCAACTAAAAGCTCAAGTCCTTTGCCTAAACTCGACAACAGCGAGATTGGTCGCCAACCCTTAGAATTTGACAGATTTCGTCCCGGTTTTGGAAGAAGCACAACTTCTGCTACCCTGAAGGCCGTGGGAAAGTAGCCGATTTTTAGGCAGGCCTGGTAGAGATGCTTAACCAGAGGTCCTAGATGGGACCAACAGGCTTTCAGTAACCGTACCGTTATCTTGTCAGCGCCTGGTGCCGTATCGTTGACAGATACAGTGGCGCTTGTCACATCGTCCAGTGATAATGCCGTATCCCATGGAATACGCTCCTCCTGTCCATTCTCTCAGGTAGAAATGTCGTTCTCGCCGCTAAATCTTGCCAAGAGAATGTCTCTTAGCGCACTGGCTCGCTCTCGCGGTTCAGATTGCCACCGGTTTTCGTCAATCTGCAGAGGAGGGGGCTCAGCTGCTGGTCGAGGTTTGGCCCATCTCATGAGCTTGAAGACCTGCGCGTCAGTAGTGACTGCCTCCACTTGTCTCTTCCAGTATTCTCGATTGGCTTTTCGCACCACAGCTCTAAAGCTTCTGCGGGCCTCTTTTGCAAGGTCCGGGTTGTCCCTGACTGCCTTGTATTCCTGCCATTCCGTGCGACATTCATCGCTCCACCATGGCCCGGTTTTTCCGCTCTCGATGGCTGGGGCTTTCCCTGCGATCTTCAGCGCATCTCCAAGTGCTTGTAGGAGATCATTCGTGAAGTTTTCGATGTCGATGACGTTGTCAAGAGGGCCAGATTTGGTCCATTGGCTAACGCATCGGCTAAATTCCTTCAAGTTGGCGTCGCTGACCCGAATTTTCCTTGGAATTCCAGAGAGATCTTTCACTATAGGATTCAGCACAGCACCCTCGATGGTCGAATGATCTGAGGTACAGTGGTAACGGTTGGAGACCGATGCTATGGCGGCCGTGTTGCTCCACGTTAGATCTAGGACGTTCCCATCCCTGTGCGTTGGCTCTCCAACAATGCTGACTAGGTCCATGTCGTGGGCTGTTGCCCATTCCATAATCTGGTTACCATTGCCGTACTGATTTGTTGTTTGCGGTTGCCAATGCTGTGACACAGAATTGAAATCGCCTCCAACAACCACTAGTCCTCTGACTTCCCACCGAAGTAGGGGCTCCAAGGTTCCACTAGTGCCTGGGGCACGATCTACGTTGAAAAAGGTCAGACCGTCCATCTTTACAAAACAGTAGTCAGATGTCGGACCTGATGACGATGGAAAGAATTGAGTTGCCTGACTACCTTTGCGCGTGAAAGTGATCGCGCGGGGCCGGATGTCTATTCCTCCGAATGGTATATGGCTATTGTAGCCAGGATGACTTTTTGTTATAAAAACACCCCTCTTTCTTTCTTGTCCATGGTTCCTGTACCATGACTCCATGTGCACCGGCCTCCCATGCCTGCTGCAATACTATATCCATATTTTCTCCACCACTTCCAACATTCACTTGGTGAAAGTGGAGGGTGTTGTATTTGTCTTTTGGTGCTTTTTTTTGAGGGGTTTCCTAACATTAACACGACATTGTTGAATCCTGGGCAACGACGGTTTCAACATACTTTCCCTTCCTTTCTAAGTACGCTAGAGCAGCGTGATAATCACGATTTCCGCGTTCTCTTATGATATGTATGTCTAAATATGTAATTCATCATGTCAAGGGTAACTTTGTGGGGCTGCCTAATCGAGTATGGCGTAACGAGAAATAATAAATGAATATGTACATAGTCTCTTCTTTGGGAGAGAGAATAGAAAGAAAAACTAAGAACCATCCATATAGTTGCAACAAGCTTGTGATTAAATTACTCCGTAAGAGTATCCCGAAAATGTAATTCTGCGGGGGTGCGAGGCAGAAATGTCCCGTTTTGTCGTCTTGGCCTGGCCATACAGCTACCCTCATTTGAGTGGTGAGGTCCCGCGCAATTTGAGCACTTTGACACCTTTGCCTGGCACTCTGATGTCTCATGGGTTTGCCCACATCTCCCACATCGTTGGCTCCGAGTACAGGAACGCGTTGTGTGGAATCCCCAGCAACGTTGGCAATGCTCGATTGGTCTTCGGCACGAGAAGGGAATTGCTGGTCCGCTCTCGTCAAAGAGACGAAACTTTGTGTTTGCTGGTTTTTGTTGGAAATGAACAATCTAGCTTGTTGAGTATTGCCCGAGCTTTGTTTCTGTGGGCCTTACCTGGATTGGTGTGGCGCCGCATACAGCCTGGCACTCGTTCTTCACCATATCGTTGGTGACTGGGATGCTGCCTTCAAGCGTCCTGATGTACAATGGCACATGAGGTACGATCAGTGATATCCATTTGGACGCTTCCTCAATCACGGTGTTGTCTTCCCGTAGGGAAGGTGTAATCCTCATGATTGTATCTCTCAATGCATCTGATGCGCATTCGAGGGCGATCCCCGACCTGACTGGGTACATGGAGGTGATAGCTGAGGCTGCTATCCCAGCCTTGTCGGTTATTATTTTCTTGATCGTAACTGGCGAGAGCTTGTGCCAGTGGTGATCTCTCCCCAATCGAAGGAACAGGCGTTTGTCCTCCTTTTGGGTTGTCTGTGGTTTCGGGTGGCTTGATGGAGCAGGCCTTCGTGGAACTTGCACATTTGGTGGTGTCGGTAACTTGGCCGCTTTACGGGCTACTGTCACCCAGGGCGAGCTGGTGTCTTGAGGCTTTGGGGGTAGAGCGTGGCTGTGATCCTCAACAGCTGTATTTTTCCTAGGCGCGACTGGTTTTGGAGTGCTTGCCATGGTGGGGGGCTTCTTGGAAAGTTAGATGCTTCTACCTGATCTACTGCGAAGGCAGTGATAACAGGCGTGATGTTTTCCAGCAGAGTCGCGACAACTGCTGCTGCTTGTTTCTCTCCTTTGCTCTTAGCCCAGGAGTCGATTAGTTCTAGAAATTCCTGGGCTATATCCAGTCTTTCTTTCCGTTGTTGTTCTGCTTTGTGCATTGTATTCACAATGCCAAGCAGGCTTGGGTGAAGTTGCCCTCCTGGATTGGAGGGCGTTGTCGATGACGATGCAACAGCTGGGGCCATTGCACCGATTGAAGATTCTTGTAAATAAGGGTAATGGGTGATGCGATGTGTTAGGTGTCGATAATCGGGTTTTGAAATGTCCAAAAATGTCGTTCCTTCATAGTCATAGACTCAGTAGGCACTTAAATTGAATTCTGTTCTATTCTATCACATTCACATATGACAAGATTGGAGTTAAGCGAGTAATGATAAAGGTTTCATCAGTGCTTCCAGAACGCCAGACTGCCGTAGCTATCCTAATCCAACTGCGTACTTGTTTACTAGATTCCGAGCGACCAAACATATACATACAAAATAAAAGTCACTAGAGACTCCATAGACCCCTGGTAACGTGGCATGTTGTATTTAACATCGTAATTGATAGATGACGTAAGGAATCTATTTAAAGCATTTTACGAGAATATTGGAGCTTTAACTTGATTCTGCCTCACCATACACATTTTGCCTTTGCCTGTACCGAGTGACTCAAGGCTTCTAACCCATGATGACAGAGCCTGCCAAACTTTACCAGGCCAGTGTTATTGCACCAGTTAACATTGCTGTGGTAAAGTAAGCTCATCCTCCCTAATCAAATATCGAGCATCGACCAACTAATAAATTGTAGATATTGGGGTAAGCGAGATAGTGTGCTCAATCTTCCATGTAATTCTTCGATCTCTGTCACTCTGTCACAAGATGACTTGCGAACCCACACGACGGCATCCTGTTCACCAGCCTATGATACCAAGGATAATCTCGTCTTGAATTCTGCGCAGGAAGACATTACCGGCGCGCGCACACAAGCATGTCTCCGCGAACTGCGCAGGCTTCGCGCTATCCTCGAAGATACAAACCCTTCACTACCCAAGCTTTCTACACTTCCATTGCGAATCGTTTCAGAGAACAATTTTCCTACTGCTGCAGGCCTTGCTAGTTCAGCGTCCGGCTTTGCGGCCCTAGTTTCTGCTATCGCATATCTCTACGAGCTACCATCTTCTTTGACGGACCTATCTCGTATTGCGAGGCAAGGAAGTGGAAGCGCCTGCCGCTCGCTTTTTGGCGGATATGTTGCGTGGTACAAAGGGATGGATGTAGACGGATCTGATTCAATCGCGGTAAATATTAAGCCCGCGTCGCACTGGCCTACTATGCGAGCCCTAATTCTTGTGGTCTCCGCTGCTAAAAAAAACGTTAGCTCAACAACAGGCATGCAAACTACGGTCGCGACATCACAACTGTTCAAATATCGAGCCGATGAAGTTGTACCCCATGTCATGACAGAAATGACTCTTGCCATTCGGGACAAGGATTTTCATAATTTTGCAAGACTCACCATGTCAGAAAGCAATAACTTTCACGCCACATGTCTAGACACATCCCCACCAATCTTCTATCTTAATGACACCTCACGGGCTGCTATTCGCGTCGTAGAAGATATTAACCAGAAAGCAGGGCGCCTAGTTGCTGCGTACACCTTCGATGCAGGTCCTAATGCTGTGATATATTATCAAGAAAGTGATGAAAACCTGGTGGCCGGTACATTAAAGAGCTTTCTTGCTAATGTGGAAGGTTGGGAAGGCAAAGGTGAAAAAATTCAAGAAAAGAGTTGCGACGGATTGAGTAAGGACGCTATAGAGATACTGCGGGTTGGTGTGAGTAGAGTAATTCTCACAGGTGTCGGCGAGGGCCCACGTAGAACGATGCAGAGCTTAATTTCAGTTGATGCGCTAGCCACGAATAATATGTGATCCACAAAAGACAGGTCATTAAATAGGATCCGAAAATCACATTCCACAATCTAAATATGCTAGCACTTGGGCGAATATGACGTTCCCGTAACTAACAAATGGCATTCGGGCGCAGAAGCATAGCCGATTTCATATACTCAAACTTAGCGGCTAGAAAGACCTCACAATCAAGCTGCAGGTTAGGAGGGTTATATAAGTGTTAATTTTTTCTGAGACCTACAAGTATTCCGGAAACGAGCGAACGTTGTCATATTATGCACTATCTATGCATCATAGTCCTAGACTGGCCATTCCTTCTCAAACTTCACAAAGCTGTCTGGTCAAAACCACTTGATGCTAAGCTGTCATCCAACAAGTATTTTGACAGATCATTTTGTTCATTTTTTAATCATTTTTTAATCATATTTTGATTATGTGCATATCTAGTCTAGCAATGACACAACAACAGGTATAAGGTATAGAATCATGACTCGATTCAAAATATGAGCACTCGTTACCAGATATCTCTTTTTTTAATTTTTATTTTTAAACATTTAAGTGTATTCAGCTATGACGCGTGATCGGTGCTATGTATACATGTAGGATGACTCTTTTGACGTTAGAGACATTCATGCTCTGGATTTCATTCGCAAATACCACTATGAGGTATGCTTGCTTACACAAACAGTCGACCCTCCTCCGTAAGTACCCACCAAAGGGACGTTTCAAAACCTTTGATTATCCAAGCATGACTTTGTCATTCATGCGTACTAGCGCCACGAGAAATTTGGCCGTGTTTGAACCAGCGATCTACTGTCACGAGTAGAATGTGTCCAAGCTACTCAGCATTTACGTGATAGGCCGGTCAAAACGATATACCACCGTACTATCCAACCATGGCTGTGTTTGTAGTGTCGCCTGCACTCTCCTGCATGGGTCCATAGAGTACCTGAACGGGCTAAATGAAATCAAATCGAAATTCTAGAATTAAATTTGCATCTTTTTGTGTACTAAAATCCGATGACTCATCTTTAGCCTTATTAACTGGTCGCGATGCCATCATTTCCGTCACCCTTCAGCCAGCAATGATAAGTGCAGAATCATTTGCCTGAGCTAACGCGCTCGCATTGCACGAGGTTCAATAAAAAACTTCAAAATTACGGGTGTCATTTGTATGATCGAACGGATAATTCTTTTTCAATCAGTTTACGTCCCATGTTTTCTCCAATATCAACCTCGGGAACAGGGGCGATTCTATTTCAAATATTTCCTAGTCTACCTCATAATCATCGCTGTCGAATAATTCAACTTTCCTATGTGGGACTAAATGCAAGGAAAGCATGTTTACGGAACTCTTCATCCTCATCTCAGTGGAAAAATAGACAATCGAAAGATCCTTTCGCAAAAGAGGCAAGAGTTCGTCAGCTGAAGAGTAGAGCTGCATTCAAACTCCTAGAAGTATAGATTCGACGCACAAGCATTCATATTATACGACACACACTGAGTTTAAGTAGCTTGACTCCAAATACACGCTATTCAAAAGGGGCCAAACGGTAGTTGATCTCGTAAGCTAACTTATATGAACATATATTCGTGTTATCCAAGCATTGACCAGAATAGGGGTACGCACCAGGAAGCTGGTCGCAAGTTAGTTGTCTTGCCCTAGAATCTCCGACTAACTTTCACACGAACATAGGTTGCTAAAGAGCGGACGAAACCTAACGGACGTGTCTTGGGTATTGACATCCTTCCTGCCTCACCTCCTTCCGGGGTATCGACTATCCAAGGAGACTTTTTGACGCCCGGAGTTCAGGCAGAGGTCAAAAAGTTCTTATCAGAAATCGATCTTGGAAGGTGCAGACCACCTGCCTTTCCAAGTTCCAGCGAACCGGATCTCTCATTATTGGGAGAAGAACAGAGCTACCTCGGACGTGATAGAGAGGAGGAGAGCCAGGAACTCTGCAATCAACCAGCCTTGTTATCACAAAGCGAATCATATAAAGTTGTCGATGTTGTTCTGAGTGATATGTCAGAACCCTGGGAGATAATTCAAAGTCACTGGAATAGAACACTTAGTGACCCATATCGCAGGCTGATGAACACATCTGGTATCAAGTTCAAAGATCATGCCGGCAGTATGGTACGAAGAATGACTTCAATACTGAGTTAATCTAAAGCTTATTTAGGACCTATGTAACGCAGCCTTAAATTTTGCCCAGGAGACTCTCAAGGTTGGTGGTCACTTTGTATGCAAATTTTATCAAGGCTCTGAAGACCATTTGCTCGAGACAAAGTTGAGGAAATTATTCAGAAACGTATACAGGCAGAAGCCAGATTCATCTAGAAACGTGAGTTGAGCATTTTCAAAGAAAATTAAACTAATTTTCTTCAGGGGTCTCGAGAGGCATATCTTGTCTCACTTAACAGGTTGAGTGTGTAAATAACGCATCTTTAGTCAATACCCGATTCTTTGTTGCAAGTAAAAATAGTCACTGGTAGGGGATTTGGTGTATAGCCAGATGTCATGGCTTCATCAGTTATTAATTTTCTTGGGGAGAATGACTTTGTTTATTAATGATTCCTACTTTATTCTTTATACCAGTAATTTATTAGAGGTTCCTCATTGGGAGCCAATAAGTTATCTCTAAATTTTAATAAAATAGAAAGATTGAAAGCCACGCTTAGACCTTGAATCCCCTCGACCTTCTGCGTCCACGAGCCTTTTCGAACTTTCGACCCTTGGATTCGACATATGGTTTCTTTAAATTTGTTAGAATTGTTTTCGTTAGTTCATGAGAATTTACCTTGTGTTTGTGTGGCCCAAATCCGAAGTGTTTTACTGCTTCTCTTGAGTTCTTTGGCCCCCTTATTAGAAGTGTGTTGCTCCCTGTAGGCGCTCTTAGAGCTAACTGATCCAATGTAAGTATTTCGCCACCTGCAGCCAGGATTCGTGCGCGAGCAGTCGAGGTGAATCGGAGAGCAGCCACGCTAAGTTTTGGGACAGTCAATAGACGGTTGTCATCAGTCACCGTACCAACGACAACGATTGTTTTATTGTTCGTGTGCTCTGAGGTATTGGCCACGATTCGGGAAATAGACACAGGGGGCCTGTTAATACGAGACATAAAGAGTCTACGAAGAACAACTTTGTTGAAGGAAGCATCAGTTCGTCCTAGTGTTCAGAGTCATCAGATATTGATTCCATACAGAAAGGGTTACATACGTGCTAGAAAACGATATAGCTTAACCAGTAACTTAATGTAAACATTGTCACTCTTGGGAGCCTTTCGGTGAGTATTTCGAACATGGTGGGCGTTAAGATCGATACCTGCATTGAAACCATTTTATCAGCCTACATTCTTGTGTGCTCATTGTATTTTGGTCTATAGACGCAAAATGCTACGCAGATTCGTGTCCATCGAGATTTTGATTAGTCGCAAGACTTCGTCTCTACCTCCAGGATTTGAACTCTCCACTTGCACATGAACGCGGATTTGATGAACGCACCCATTTTGGCGACTGACGACTTGCGTTTGGCGTTGTAATTTACTGGACTAGAATTGAACGACTGGAAATCTAATGTGCGTTGGACGACCTTTGGCTAGCGAAAGTTTTGCGCGCTAGTACTTTATCACGTGATAATAGATGGCAGTGTTTTATTCCTGAGGCATCATTGGTAAATCTATTCAGCCAGCTGGGCTAATAGAAGATGCGCATTCTGCACTAGTGTTGAAAAAGTCAGTGTCCGATGGTGCCCCGGACATCCTGTAATTCCTGGAAGCAAAGTAGCAGACTCTCTAGTCAAGTAAGCTTGTCTAATTCGCACATCGTCTCTCCATCTGGCCATAGCAAGGGCAAAAAGAAAGGTGGTTCAACTCTACAAGGCCTCCACCGACACTTTTTGGGAACGAGAGGCTCCGACCAGATATAAAGAACTCGGAATTGGTCATAGTTTAGGAATAACCCCAGAAATGCCAGTGAAGACGAATTCTTCACCTTCCAGTTGTGCCGGTGCAATCGCTCAGTATGCTCTGCATATCTGGGATTGCCAAGAAGAATCGCATCCGAATCGAAGTCGAAAGCAACCTCAAACACATCTCCAGTTGACAACTTCTCGACAATGCCTCTCTCATCATTATTATCTGAGTCCTCAACCAATCTCTAACCACGCATCATCTCGCCTCGACGACCAATAAAGAAGTTGCTTCAATTGCATACAGAAGCTTGCCCTATTAATCTCTAGCCATCTCTCACTATATATTTACGACGCTATTTATAACCGCAAGGGGGAAATCAAGTCGAAAAATACAAAGCCTGGGTCTTGGCTTGTGGGGGAATGTTGCTCTAATGGGACAAATAACTTGAGGAAGAACAGGCGGCTGAGATGTGGAGCGAGAAGGTGGAATGGTCTCTGAAAAGCATGCATGGACCGATATCTTCGAAGAGTATTCAACATTGGATTTTTTGTGGGCGCCAAGACCGATATTTCGGCTAATGAGCTAGGAGGACCTCGATTGTCGATGAGTCAACGGCACTCCCCAGCGCCCTGGATGGTACAAAAGAAGTTGGGCTAAGCTGCTATACAGCAATCACGCTCTGTCAAGACCTTTCTGACATTTCGGCACGACCTTCGGGAAGGAGGCTAGAAAGGCCTCCTCATTTTGTGTTCCCTTTTGGTTCCTTCATGTAGCATCCCTCTATCCTTCAGCAGATCTCGTCATCCCAGAAACTTTGTAACATGTCTACCACTCCGGCCTTGCCCCTTCGCTGCCGTACCCCTGAGCGTGGAGGTCGAAAACGCGCTTGTGAGCTCAAGACCGAGGCACCGGTACCCCAGCCTTTGTCGAACGCTCTACTCGGTGTACCGGCAAAATGCCGTTAGTATTTCGTCGGGGGCGATTCGTCGCAGGTCGAGCTGTTGGCACCCTTGGCTGAGGTGAGGACGCATTCGTGGCCGGTACTTCGACCGTACCTTCACAGTGACTGGCAGTTTCGGAGAGTCGGGCATCCTCTTGCTTCTTTGATAGCGATTTGGCTTTTGGAGGTATGGGATTACTTCGGTAGGTGATGAGATGATTGTGGAGAGGGCCGCAAGAGGAGTTTAGCTGGGATTGATCTTCCAAAGGAAAAGAAATTAAGACCTTGAAGGTGTCGGTTGATGTGATGCGAACATCAGCAAGTTATTACCTGTCTGCGGTTCGTATCTGGGGTGTATATGGTTGATTTCGTTGAGTTATGCAGTCGTGAAATCTCTGCAAGTCAGATTTTGGACCAAAAATGAGCCAACACCACTCCTCCCGATCGCCAACTCGACGAAAACTCTCTAATCCACCCTTTTTCGTGACTGAATCTCGGCTCTGAGAGAATATCTCAATCCCAGGTGTCATGAATGCGCTTTTCACATTAATAGTAAATCTTCATCCACGTAGTATAGCATGCAGAGCCAGGGAAATGGAAACAGGTTAGTGATAAATTAGATACCACCGATCGCTACACTCACCCGTGGATCACTCCTAAAAGAGAATAGCTACGGCGCTATCTGGAAGTATGTGGGATTGGTTAACCATCATGTAGATAACCTGTTACATGTCATAATGTAGTCAGCAATAGACTTCACCATCGAAAATCGTGCCCCTATGACGGAAGAGGCTCCTGTTCTTTTAGCATCCCATCCAACTCTCCACCCATCCCAACAATATCGTTCCTCTCTGCCAATTTGGGCAGAGGAGACCCCGCTACAGACATCATCCTGCAATCCGCTTGGGATTCAGGAACCGATGTCCTACTTATCCAGGAACCCTGGACCCAACGTAAGGATGGCTTCTGGCTCACCAAGTCGCATCCCGGGTTCGATAGGCATTTGCCTCCCCATGCCGCTGCCAACTCTTCAAGGCCACGCTCCCTCATCTACACGCGAAAAGGGATCAATTGCCGACAGCAAGCAATCTGCGAGACATCACCAGATCTCACCGCAGCAAGGGTAGAAGGAGTCTTATTTGTCTCCGTATACCGCGCTCCTGGAGCAGACCTTATGCCGCTACTATCATGGGCTCCATCTGGGCCTACAGTTATCGGCGGAGACTTCAATGCTGTTCACACCAACTGGCAGCCAATGGCTACTAGGCTACACGGTGAGGGCCAGGTACTCACCGAGTGGATGTTCGAGCACGGTATGGACCTATCTTCCACACCGGGCGTCCCCACACACGAATTTGGAAACACACTCGACCTGGTCTGGTCTAACGCTGGTGCCCTTGCAGATGTCTCGACAGAGCTTGACTCAACATCGGACCACAGAACGCTTGCAGGAGACGTTCCCCGCCCAAACTCGAAAGCCAGAGCTGTTATCAAAACTGGCCAACTGGTGCGAGTGACAGATGACGCCCTCGAAGACTTCGCCAAGGTACTAGGTAGGTGGGCCCATGGAATAGGGATGCAGCCTATGGTCTCAACAAGTGCGGTGGACAACCTTGCGGATAAACTGGTTCAAACCATCAGCGATGCTATCAGGGCTACCGGAAGACGCGGGAGTGCGAAGAAGGGTAGGACGGCATCTTGGTGGACGATAGAGTGCGCACAAGCCAAACGCGAATATAGGATATTCAGGGACGAAGAGAGTAGAAAGGATTTCCGTCGCATAGTCAGAAGCGCGAAACGCCAATACTGGCGGCGAAAGTTCTCGGAAGCTACAACTGACGTCGACATGTATCGGATGGCACGTTGGGCTAAACCGCAACTTACATCTGCTGCTCCGCCACTCCAAACTCCGGATGGTTTGGTCTCGGATCCAGGAAAGCGTGTACTTCTATTGCGCGATCTCTTTCTCGGCTGGTTCACCAGCCAAAACGACGTGGACACCGAACACCTCGAGCTGGGACGCGGAAACCTTCCATGGGCCTCTAGCGTCACTGATGAAGAAGCCAAGTGGGTCACAACGGCCTGCCAGAATAAAGCTCCCGGAGCAGACATGATTTCTGTGTGGCTTCTTAGGACAGCCTGGCCGTCAATAGGACAAGTAGTGAGAGTACTCTTTGAGGGCTCACTTCTACTAAACCACTTCCCGAAGGCATTCAAGCTAGCGGAAGTAATTCTTCTCCCCAAACCTGGCCGTAATCTCAGTACAACTAAAGGATGGAGGTCCATCGCACTGCTATCCTCTCTCGGCAAAGGTCTTGAGAGACTAGTCGCAAGGCGCATGGCTTACACCGCCATTTCATACAAGGCCGTGCCGCAGCAGCTTTTTGGAGCACTCTCCGGCAGATCCGCTAATGACCTTGTCTCATGCGTCATCCACGATGTGGAGCATGCAATGAAGAGGCAGAAGAAAGCAGTCCTTGTCACTCTGGACGTACAGTGGGCATTCGACGCTGTACTCCACGGAAGGCTGCTGCAGAGGATGAACAAAGTTGGGTGGCCGAAATCAGCCATCACTTGGATAGA